TAACATGGCTTATTCCAGCATCTCTAGACCTAGAATCTAATCTAGAGTCTAACAGTGTCACCGCGCATCTGTTTGGGTGCGCAACCCCCGGTCTCCTGCTTTGTTTTGGATAAGAACAGCGAAAACGAGGTCACTTTCTGTGAGCATGCGCAGAATGCAGCTTATTTCACTTTCGTTTTGGAGGTTCCTGTCAACACACGTGATTCTACGGTGTCGGAAAGTTTGGCCCCTTCATATTGATGGTTTTCGTAAGGCCACCTCTATTCTCACCCGGAGTGAGAATAGTGCAGGCGAGTCTTGTGGCTATTCTCACGCGGTGCTCGTTCACCAAATTTTGCATTCACCCTAAACCACAGAATTCTACACTGTGATAACAGAAAAATTGTAGAATTCTGTGCAGTGAACAAACGCTCCATTACAACTGTAGCCTACTAAAAGCGTACAATTTTGTCTGTGGGCAGTGGAGAGAGAGAGAGAAAGAGAGAGAGGAGTAGCGCGAGAATTTCCGGGCAAAACAAAATGGCGACCCGCGTAGTTCGGCTCGATTCGAAAAGTTAAATAGCCGTAGCATCTTTGTAGAGAACCAAATTAATTTACTTTTGTGTTTTAACATCATTTTTTAACTTTGTTTTGGTCAATTTGATCGTCCACACCGATAGACAGTATTCAGAAAGAGACAAAGAGAGAGAGAAGAGGGGAGGAGTTGATCTTGCGAGAACTTCCGGGCGGGTGAGAATAGCCACTTTCTTTTCATAACCTGTATGGCCACCTCTATTCTCACCCGGGGTGAGAATAGTGCAGGTGAGTCTTTTGGCTCTCACCCTGTGCGCGTTCACCGTTATAGCCTAGATCTAGGCCAACAAATTTTGCGTTCACCCTAAACCACAGAATTCTACACTGTGATAACAGAAAATTTGTAGAATTCTGTGCCGTGAAGAAACGTTCCATTACAACTATTATAGCCTATTAAAAGCAATTTTGTCTGTGGGCAGTGGAGAGAGAGAGAGAGGAGTAGCGAGAGAACTTCCGGTCAAAACAAAATGGCGACCCGCGTAGTTCGGCTCGATTCGAAAAGTTAAATAGCCGTAGCATCTTTGTAGACAACCAAATTAATTTACTTTTGTGTTTTAACATCATTTTTTTAACTTTGTTTTGGTCAATTTGATCATCCACACCGATAGACAGTATTCAGAAAGAGACAGAGAGAGAAAGAGAGGGGAGGAGTAGATCTTGCGAGAACTTCCGGGCAAAACAAAATGGCGAACCGCGTAGTTCGGCTCAATTCGAACAGTGAAATAGCCATAGCATCTTTGAAGACGATCAAATTAGCTTACTTTTGTGCTATTTTATACGTAATTTTTTCTTGGCTTTTATCAATTTGATCATCCACATCGATAGAAAGTATTCAGAAATGAGGAAAAACAGGTCTTGTTTCAAACCGGGTGAGAATAGCCTACGGTCGCAAGTCTCACCCAGGGTGAGAGATCGATCGTATTTCTATTCTCACCCCGGATGAGAATAGCCACTTCCAACCTGTATCGGAGAATTTACTAAACTAAGCGCTTGAGTAGTCGATTATTTAGCACATCTAGTTAATCTAGCTCTGATGTATCATAGAATTTATACTAGAATCGATAAATACTATCGCAGGCTGCTTCTTAGTGCTCAGGAATATGCCAGATAGGGTTGCGCACTGAGGCAGACCAAATTTGTGCAGTCCATTTCAGTGCGCAATATCGTTTTTTTTGCTATTTGGCATTGATAGTGTGGCTTCTAGGCCCTTTAGTTGTTTTACTTAGGAAGAGGCTAGCCGCCCTTTAGTTGTTTTACTTAGTAAGAGGTTAGCCGTACTTAATGACGGCTAGACTGGCAGTCTAGCCGTACTTATTCTTAATATGATGGCTAGACTGACCATTTACAAAAAATAGGCCTACTGAATTGTAAATATACATTTTTAGTGTGCAGTACCTAAAGCATTTGTATTTGAGACGAAACCAGGTGCCTTAATGACAGTGTATGTATTTTAAACCTCCTGTTTTCTAATGTTAATAGGGCCTAAGATAAGTACAGCTAGACTGGCAGTCTAGCCGTACTTAAGTACGGCTAGACTTCTTGTCTAGCTGTACTTAAGTACGGGTAGACAGCCAGGCTAGCCGTACTTAAGGACGGCTAGACTGTCAGGCTAGCCGTACTTAATATGAATGGCTGAATTGTAAATGAAATTTTTAGTTTGCAATGCCAAAAGTATTTGTATTTCAGACAAAACCAAAAGGTGCCTTACTGACTTGCATGTATTTGAACCTGAATAATTACTAAAATCTAGATCTAGATCTAATGAGACCTGTGTACTTACCAGGCTTGAGTCGATAGGGCCAAACCTAGATTTAAGTACGGCTAGACTGGCAGTCTAGCCGTACTTACTAGCCGTACTTAAGTACGGCAAGTACGGCTAGACTCTCAGTCTAGTACGGCTAGCCACTTCGTTTTACTTATTAACCCTCATCCTGCGATTATGTAGCCTGATAAGCCTATTTCGGCACATGGTTTTCGTTCTGGTCCCGAATCAGTGTAGCTCGCATCCTCTTACGTGTCATTCGGGTTCCGAGTCAGATCCCCATTCACGCAGGTCAAATGTGTGTGCGTCAGTCTGCTTGAGTTTGTGTGCGTTTGTGGCCTTCTTCTAGAACCGCCTGCGTTGGTTCGTAATCGAGGCATACGTCTCATTCAAAACATGCCAAGTTGGTAGCTCTAGATGTTCGTCCAATTAAATTATAGAAGAAATTGACCCACTTAGACATGAGGAAAGTAAGGAAACAAGACTTCCATTTTTCTACAAAATATTTCAAATCAGCTTGATTTTGTATGAAATGATACTACCTGATAAAAAATAAGCTTGTTTGATAGTTTTGACATTGTGCAGGTACAAAGAACAATTTGAGTGTAAAACATTCGGAAATTGACCTAAATTATCCCCTTTCGAACCTCAGGTCATTCAGAACAACAAGAGCGTCCAGAAAGGTTATTCGAATGGGTGTAATGTCTTATCAACTTGTGAGAGGGGGTTATTCATGTGTTTGTAACACTTTATAAATAGAAAGCTATGAAGGATAGAGCGTTATTCATGGCGAA